TTTTTTTTTTTTTTATTCGAAAATTGGTAATCAAAGGTTTTGTAAACTCTTTAATGGCACGCGCGAGCCGAACGAGGATTTTCGAGTCGAATTTACAGCGGCACTTTGACAGACACTATTTTTAGTCGCCGTGCGCGTGTGAGTTTAACTTTTAAAAATGGAAATGAACTTTTGAAAATGGAAAAAATATCGTCGTTTAATGCTAACCGAGATATATAATGTTTGATGTAAAAAAAATATATTATATATATGCAGTATATAACATAGGTGTTTGTTCGTATTTATAAAGTGGCGAGTCAATCGATGTCTGAAAAGTTAAGCGAACGCCAATTATTCTTTCTTATGACTTAAAGCGCAAATGAACGATCAACAGGATTTTTGCGCGAAGGATTCTTCTTTTTTTTTCAGACATCGTTTTCTCGCGTCATGTTATGTCTCATAACAAGTTGACGTTATTATAATAGGTATCATCGTGCACCCTTATTACTATTTTCGATCTATTTAAATCATGTATCATTGTCAATGAAATTCCGTTACCTCGGAGTTCGCGGAATCCGGCCTCGATAACGCTTTCGCGAAACTGAAGACGGATAACGCTAATCGCGCGTACATATATATACATACGCATATGTGTAGAATATATATTTATGTATTATGTACTTTGTCTGCGTATATATTTCCACACACACACACATATATATATATATATAAACAAATATGTAAACATCAATACACGTAATAGTAACGACTTGGCTTTCTTAGGATTACAACAATCTTCTCGAATTTACATGCAGAAATTGCAAACACTGAACGATACACCAGCGCACTTGCGATTCGAATTTTCAGGGACATCCTGTAGCGCGGGTAGGCATGAAAGTTTGATGCCCGAATAAATTATGTAGACACTCCCATTGTTACAAGTACATATTATACTAGAACATTAACGTTTTGCATATTGCAACATGATTAATTTTTCTGGGAAATATTGCGATGCGTTTTCATGTACGAAAACATTCACGTGTAGATTTATCATTTAACTAAATATATATATATATAATATATTTATATATGTAAAGGACACTTAAATACAGCTACTGCTAGGTGTTCCTTCCCATTAATTTTTGTTCCGTAAAAGCGACTCCCTTGAGTGCGAGGAAAGAAAAATGTATTTAAGAACGCGGCGTGCGACTGCGCATTCTAAAACTGAAAACATATACATTGCCTACTTTATAGAATAGAAGACTGTGGTTTGGCTGACAATTAGGGCCGACTGTGATAGAGAATATAAATAAATGACCTCCAGAAATGATGATGGTCATGAAAAATTTTAATTTTTTTGTATTCTTATTTGTATAGAAAAATGTGCGGAAAAAGTATATGGTTCCCAAGAACAGTGCCCCATATTGAATGTATTTGTTAACAGTTCCGAAGGAGATTCAGTATTTACAAAGAATCTGGGATCTGACTTCGATGCTCATGGCCACCAGAGCGAACCAAGGACGCGCAAAGGAAACCAACGACCAAGAGAAAACATGATCGTAACACGATACGAGTAAAGATTCCGCTACTGGCACGAGTTCCTTGAAAAGAGCCGCCTCGGGTACTTCCCCTCCATGTTTGGTTTTAATAAAAGTCTAGAGATAGATTCGAGAGACGTATCCGGCGATGCAGATATGAAACTGTCGGAACGTAAAATTTATAACGACTTGCGGTACGGTATTGTTGACGTTCAAAAAATGTGGCGCATGGCGTGAAAATAAATAAGTAATGACGCCCCACTCTTCGCGTCTACGAACTCACGTGCGGATATTTTGAGCGTCATTAAGAAAGTCGACGGCTACGTCATTACAATATATCACATGTATGATATACGTTCCCACGCGACTAAGCAAAGCGCGTTGTTATTGCCCGGACTCTATCAGTATCTTTGATTTCCAGTTTGAACCGGTCTTCTTGACTCACCAATACACCTTTGTTACTCGAGGTTACTCCACCTTCGTAAGTATTTCGAAACCTTTCACCTTAAGCTGCGTTCACAACGCACGATACCCTGCTAAGGAAGCGAGCACTTATCGATACTTGGCATAACTTGCGAAGAATATCACTAGAATTTCGATTTGATGATTGTACGTACAATGCGAGAGCAAGATGAGATCAGCGCGGTGTTATTTTTTTATTTCCATCAACTCCGCGTCCCTTGCAACGAGGGCATAGAAATTACATTGACCATATGATTTGTACACCAGCAGCATACAATTGACACCAATTACCGATGATAACGCACGTAATATGCATAACTGAAGAACGGGAGGACTGTGCGCCACTTGAAAACGATTAGCGATACTCACAATTAATGTATATCTTCGATACGAAACAGCATATGTGTCGAATGATAAACAATTAATAAGTGGATCATTATAAATATCTAATTCATCGTTATTGTCCTTCACCATCGATATACCTTTATAACATAGGGAACTTAGAGCGAAGAGGTTGGTATTGTGCCGGACTGTGAAACCACAATTTCATACAATGGATACGACGGCCGCCATACAGTAATTTTCCGCTGTAGTCTCTGAGTAACCTGTCGTTACGAAAAAGGAAAGGTAAGTAAGTGAATACGATTGGGCAGGAGTGGCGCAGGCACGAGTCTCAACATACTTCAAGCGTCTTGCGAGTTGTACGCACGTGCGAAGTCGGCTGACGGTAGGAAAGAATTTTTAGACACTCTTACGTGAGATACAGGACGTGTCAAAAGTACCAGCAGTTTCTTCTTTCGTTTTCTTTTTCAATGCTGATTCGTTATTGTTTAAGGACCAATCAAACTATTAAGGAAATATAAATTGTCCTACAGGAATTATCCTGACAAATTACATCCTTCATCGTGATCGTTGAAGATAATCAACTAGAGCTTTAATAACACGTGTTGTTTGGTTATGTTTCAAATGGTATTGTACGAATAGTTATGGGCTATAACCAGTGCACGACGTAAAAGTTTAGGACCGCGCCTCTTTTCTTGTGGCAGTGATCCAAGTAAAGGAATTTAAAAATATTGAGAATGACGACTATCGACGTTAATATAGTATTCTTAAAAAAGGATCGAATATTTAGTCACATGATTTTATGCACGCGACTCTGTTACGTTTACGTCTTGTAACTATGTTCTTCATATCTAAATATTGGAATTTTTATCGATTTTTATATAGAAATATGATAAAATATCGTTATGAGTTAATAGGATCAGCACTCATCTTCCCTACTTCAGATGCAGATATTTAATGCATACTTCGAGATCTTTGTTAAGTATGCTTATTATTTATCAGTAGAAGACTGATTTTTGTTTGATATAATAGCGGTTTCGTCTGCATTTCATAGTTAATCTATAAAAAAGAATATTGTATTGTATTATGGGTACTATATGTAATAACTGATTTTACACAGTTATTGTATTTTTAGTTATAAGATTCACACTTCTATTCTTATATCTGGAATATATGTAATCGGGAAAGAGTAGTTGTAGATGACTATAACTCTCGATGGTGTCAAGGAATTACGTAAATTTAATGTTGGCTTATGACTTTTTTCTTGCATTCCTCTGGACGTTCTGGACGGTTGTGAATTATCTTAAGGAATAATGAGTACTCAATACTGGCACAATATACATAATTCTTATCCGTTGGTTTTATGGTTATTATTGGAAAAATTTTTGTCATTGTTGAATAGATTTTTTTAATTCTAGAGTTTTTTCTTTAAAAAATACTTGCATTCTATATTACCGAATGATTTTCACAACGGTTTTATTATTTGTAAAGCGTATTTGACTAAAATTGTGGACTTATATGAGTTAACTCAGTATCGTTTTTTTTTATTTTCTTTTAAGCTGTTAATACCCTTATAACGCTTAGGTTGATTTTTTAATAAGAGAGAATTCTGTCTAACCTATAAAGACGATTCTTATCGATTCTATATGGATACCTACATTTATATTTATCTTATGTTGAATTGTAATATCCTTTTCTTATCGTATCTAATCACAGTAACACCATCTTGTAGATTTTCATGCAAAACCAAAAGTTATTATATTCTGATAAAGTAGGAACTAGTTCTAATACCGACCGGTTCAGGATACTCGACCAATCGAAAAGGTGAGTATAGTTCGACGGCCTTCCGCTTAGGTGGCGCGCCGACGCCAAAATAAAACTTATTTCAAGAAAATTGGTCCACTGCAATCCCCGAATAAAATACGTTTCGGTTAACAATTTCGGTTTTGGTTTTCCACTGTAGCAATATCAGATTTCCGTTACGATTTTAGATCGAACATTTATGAAATTTCGGTTATCCATTTCGAGTTCAGTTACACTTATGGTCTCTGATAACTACCGAAAGACACAATTTAAAAGTATCAATTTATTTCTCTTATTTTGAATACTGTTTCACTAATACACAGGGTTATTCGCGCTAAATGCATAATCTGAAATTATTCTGTCTATTTGATTTCTATCGTAGAACCATCTGAAGATGGTTGACGTTTGTCATGAATAAGAATCAGTGAGCAAGTCATGAGACTTGAAAACAAGCCACCATTGATTGAAATTGACTGATGGTCAGTTTAATTAGAAAATGGCCATGGTTTTACACGAAGAATACAAAATATATATTAAACGTTTAATAAGTCCAAGAAAAAAACTATAATTGGATAACGCGTTTTATAATAATATACAATTGAGAGGCGCGTGTTCTGCAATTTAAATTATTCCCTTGTTCTCTATTTCTGATCTCTCTCTAAAGACTCGTTCCAAGCGACGAGTGCGTCTGTCTTTTATTACTTGAGCAAATAGCGCTTACGAATTCCCAGCGGCACGGTGCTACCGTTTATCCGATATTTACATTGGGGAGATGGATCTATTACAGGATTAGTTGACCCCCATGGCTTTTTGATTATTCAGGCTCGAGCGCATCCAGACATCTGCCCCATTGAAAAGATCACCTCTCGAAAATCCCCTAAACCGCGGCGATATCAATTACATTGTTGTTATTGGGTAGCCGTAGATGTGGTCGCAGATAATACACTGGTATAAGAGCATGCAACAATGGACAGGTACGGTGTATACCCAACGGGATCCTCATAAACGCAACATGATAGCCATCAGGTGTGCAACTATGCGTTTAATTTGGATTTGCAACGAAATGGATACTCTCGCCAATATGCAGCCCTGTTTCTTCCTATATATGGTAGGGCACTACCCTCAAAATGCTTCAGTTACACGTTGAAAATGAGTGAGGTACAGAGGCAAAACAGAGTCTCCAGTGATTTCAGTATAGCTAGAATTCTAGCAAAACCTATTCAGAATTATTCAAGGAATGATCGAATAACGATTCACGAATATAACTTACCAGTTGTTCCTGCCGAAGAAACGTTCGGGAATACCAATTGTGATTCTTACAGTACCGTGAATTCGCATGCGATACGAGAACGTATTTCTCCAGTCATCGCTGGCGCTTCTTGCACCCTGTGCAACAATAAAATACAGAATATTTCGTCCAGTGTTGATATATATAATTCAGGAGTTCATTTAAATTCGGCGATCGGTTGCTCTAAGGCTACTGGTGGAATTCTGTGCAAGAAAATAAAAGGAGAGGATGAGAAAGAGATAACACGAATACTGCGTTACGGTGAAGAGAATCAAGATACTGTAGGAGCTGCTGATGTTGCTAAAGACAATAAAAATACCTCGTTGATCGATACGTGGAAAGACAGTGCTCCGGTTATCACTGATAATAATGAACTATCGTGGCTTCAGTGCACACGGTACCGACCACCTCGTTTGCCAAGAAAATCATCTGCGGGAAAAGCTACTAAGAGACGACCTGGTACGCATCCACGAATTCCATTCACTACGCTTCAGCTTCAAGTCTTGGAAGACAAGTATAAGAGAGGAGCATATCTTTCCAGAAGAGACGTTCTTCAATTGTCAACAACTTTGCGACTACCTCAGAGCAGGGTGAGTACATCTGTTTCATGTTTGCAATCATGTAAAATGAATAACGAGTTGAAAATTTTATATAGTATTTATCCTAGGTTAAAATCTGGTTTCAAAATCGGCGTGCTAGAGAGAGACGAGAAACACGACAGTTACGCAACAGTACGTTATCGGATATAGTTAATAATTCTGAAGAACAAGTATAAATTGTATATAATGAATAATGATGTAGTGAAAAACTTTGCGCAATGTACACTCAAACGTTAAGTATACGTGTTTCGGTGATTGAAGTGAAATATTTTGAAAAAAATTAAAAGCAACGAAAATTATAACATTCTTTTTTTTACTCCAAGAACCACGTACAACTGCGTGAATAAAGCATAATTCACCATAATAGACAATAATTATTATTAAATATTTGTACATTAACAATTCATTCTATTTATAATAAATGACAGTGCCAGGCAAATAAAGGTATCGTTTCTTCTTTTTAGTTTCAAGCAGTAGACAATAACCGTGTAGCAGGTGATACATTTACATCTCACAATGATTAAGTATTTATTTCATTACTTTGTGTCTGTATAATCCCTATTTTCCTTCAGCATATGCCTACTAGGCAGGTTTTCTTAATGTGTGCGCATCAGCTGGTAATTGTGAATAATACATTAACAGTTATCATTAATAATACACTAAAAATAGTGCGTTTCGAAAAATGACTGCACTTCGAAAATCGTCAGAGAGCAATAATACTTTCTCTACCTGCTCCCACGCCTATCCATTTCACTGAAACGAAAAAGATATATTGACGCTTAGTTATTTCAATAAATTGTGACACAGTGATTCAATGATAATCCCTTATAAAATTTGCAAAAAACAATTTAATTGCACACCTGGTACGTCCAAGTGCTCTTCTATTAATCGCACGTATTTCTTTGCATTGGGAGGTAATTTTTCTAAGGAGCGAACGCCTTCCGTGTTAGTTTCCCAACCCTTACAGGTTTCATATATCGGCTCAACCCGTGCTAGAACCGATGCATTGCTTGGAAAGTAGTCTATCTCTTTACCATCCAAGCGATATCGAACTGCCACCTTAATTTCCGATAATGTATCCAGGATATCCAGCTTCGTTAAGCAAATGCAAGTATATCTAAAAAGATAAAGTTATAACATATTTAGTAGAATATGAGGTTCGACTGGTTCTATCAAGAATAAGAGTCTGACCCTCGGACTTATTTCCTAATCTTGTATAACGTCTATCAATTAAAGTAAAGAAATGTGTATGTTAGTATTGAAACAGTTTCTATAGTCGGTCATGGAGTAAAATAGCTTAAAGTGAAAGATGGAAACACGTGTTTCGTGCTAGAGACTCCTGTAGCAAAATTTCTCACTTGCCAATGTTATTTTGTCAAAGGTAATGAATGGTTATTCATTGATTTCCATTGAGTTGCCGCATATTACATTCGGCAAAAAAGCATTGGCAATGAGAACTTGTGCTACGGGATTTGCATTTTTTTGATCCGTCACTATTTTACATTGTAGATCGACTATAATTAATTAACTTTGTTACTTAAAATCAGTATGGAGTAACTACACAACGCATGCGCTGTTACTTGTATGCATCGCATAATTAATGTAACTAACCCGTTAACCATTCCTGTAAATTTAAGTAAGGCTAAATCCAGCCAACCGCAACGTCTCTTTCGTTTAGTAGTCACGCCTATTTCATGACCTCTGTTTTGTAGCATCTCTCCAGTAGCATCCATAAGTTCAGTTGGGAATGGACCATCACCCACTCTCGTGGTATATGCCTTCACTACACCAACTACTTCCCCGATAGTGCTAGGTGGTACACCAAGACCTGTACACACACCACCAATGCTACAATTTGAGCTTGTAACGTAGGGATAAGTGCCAAAGTCGATATCAAGCAACGCAGCATTGGCTCCTTCCACAAGGACTTTTTTACCATCTTTCAACGCTTGATAAAGGAAAAAGACAGTCTCCTTGACAAGAGGTCTAATGCGTTCAGCATATCTGCACAATAATAGATAGGATACGTTTTTAGCTGGTACAACTAGTCTTTTCTGATAAGTTTATGTACTATTGGCATACCCCTTGTAGCGTTCCAGTTCAGCCTTAATGTCTACGTGTAGCGATGGAAACATTCTCTGGAAAAACGCGACTAGAGTTTTGAATTTCTCAGAGAAACTTTCAAAGTCTCCAAGAAGATCACCGATTCTAAGGCCATTTCTTGCAGCCTTACTCGAATATGTGGGTCCAATTCCCTTCTTCGTAGTTCCCAAAGATTGTGTACCCTTTTCTAATTCTTGCAATCCATCAACCTGTTGATGAAAGTCAAAAACGATATGAGCCCGATCCGATATTATAAGCCTGTCTTTCCAATCCTTAAGACCCTTTGCCTCGTTCTTCTCCAATTCTTCAAAGAGTCCCGGCAAATGAATGACGACGCCGTTTCCTGTCAACAGATCGATGTCAGCGTTATATGATCCGATATATGCTGTCTTGATTAGGCAAATCTAGTAACAAGCGGCACCAGCTTTGTCTTATTAAATCAATGAATCGTAATAACTCGGCAAAGCTAAGGAATGCATGTACTCGGCATAGTTTTAAAATTGCTTTTCGCGACAGACTTGGGATAATATTATCAACCACGGGCAAAATGGCATTCGATACATATTGATTGAAAATCGATGTTAATTTATATTCGTATGATTGTCAAAGTAAATTTTATATTTGAAATAATACATAACTTTCCGCTTTAAAAAATTGCATAATGAAGATAATATAGGTATGCATTAAATTTGGTATATTTATTAATTGAAGACAGTGGTTTATCAAATCTAAATGATCTCATTAACAATACAAATGAAAAATCGTATTTTTCATTTTGCCTATCAATTAAAATTATCCATTACCTATAACGGATTTGCATTCTGGATTGATTATTCCACTAGGCAGAAGATGAAAGTCGAATTCGGCACCTTCTACTACTACTGTATGACCTGCATTATTTCCACCCTGTGAAATTATAGTAATATTTGAAGTTTGGGATGGTTTATATTATTAAGTGAATTGAGTACACAATGCAACAAACATATACTGAAGGTATTTTATGAACTGCCAAAGTATCTCTCTCATTATTATGTATTGGTTCTATTGTGTACCTCGATAATTTATTGAAAAACAAATGAGGTGCATAATTAAAATATTTTTCATATGGTTATGGTATAATTGGTTAATTAAGCATTTTAAATAAATTGATATTTGGTTTACAATATCCAACTAAAAGAACAATGTTTTACATAAGGAACAAGGTTTTATCTTAACTACTTGGCTTTGCTACATTGAGGATTTAGCCAGAAATAGTGAGAGGCAATGTGTTGGTAAATAAATGCTACAGTGTGTGTGTGTGTGTGTGTATATATATATGTATATAATATATGTATAGATATAAAATAATACAAGATGGAGCATTTGTTTCAGTACTCAACACAACAAAATGATCTTGTGATTATGATGTAACTCTCTTTTCACTTATATATATATAGTATTGAGTACTGAAACAAATGCTTCATCATGTAATTTTTTGTTGCTGTATTAGCTACCATCCCTATTACATAATCAGAGCTTTAAAATGATATCATCTTTTGTCACCAAAATAGCTCCAACATTTGGAAAGTAACTGACAGTTATGTTGTTTTCAAAAATAATATCTTAAGAAAGTATCTCCAAGGTCTAACTTTCCTGTGCCAAGTGTTGGAAACTCTCCCTGGACCGTGGAGATAAAATTTGTACAAAAATAACATTTATAACAACAGAAACTGTATGTAATATATCAAAAACTGGTACGTGACTTAAAAAAATCGTTTGTTATATATGAGGGTTTTCAAGAGGACATTCAAAATTTGCAGAAGTTCTGTCATTCGCAATACAAGTTCTATCCTTTGTAACAATAATTATCTCATTTAATCCTTTCGACATTCTAATCAAGGACAATCAGTAATAGATATTTGCAATGGTTGGGTTATTAGAAAGCTTTTAGTAAATTTAAATTGGTAAATATGAAGGGATAGGTAAACCGATTGTCAAATCCTTGAATGCAACAGAATGCTGAAAATAAACCATGTACAGAGTGAAATAAAAAAGAGTAACCATTAGAAAATTATCGTACCTGACACCTGCAAACGATGTCAGCATCAGTAGCCAGCATATCCACGACTTTTCCTTTACCCTCATCGCCCCATTGCGCGCCCAGAACAACCGTGACCTTGGCCGGAAGACCGGTAGTTAAAGTTCTCTGTTTCTTCTTTGGTGAAGCCAAATTTCCATCCCCATTCTCCTGGTGGACGGACTGTTGAATTCTTTGGCAAGTCGACATCTCGCGCCAACACTTCCCCTTTTTGGATCAAGAGACACGAGTTTGTTAAACGCAACGGATGAAGCGGACGACACTAACGACACTCCACAGCGCTCCACGGACCAGGCGAAATAGGCGTCTCTTCCGCAATCGGGCTCATTCGTCTGGGAGGGAATTGTTTAACAATGCTAACACTAGAACGAGTATGAATGTCCCCAGAAATTCCCGGTAAATGTCCCTGATTGTAAAATCGATACATCGAAAAACAAAACCTAGTTGCACAATATTATTTATTTATGCAATACAGGTGAACAGGTATTGTATGCTGTGAGATGATCCAAAATATTACAGTAACATAATAAACAGAACTATTATTTATTTATTTAAATAAGTATCTACCTTATATACGTTCACATGATACAATTATATTACTTACAAGTCAATCATTTTATCAAAATAAAGGGTTAAATCGATTATATTGGATTAAGGTCGTGGGTGTCCGTCAATGATGGTGACCCGCGACCTTTAATTTTTTCGGATGACGAATTGCACGCCCTGTTTCGCTGTCAGAAGACTCAGACTCGGAGTCATTGTATCCGCCGATTCCCACGGAATCTGTCTTGGAAACTTCACAGGATTCTGCAGCAAAATTACCCGTTATCTTTGCTTTTTCCAGAGTTCGAACTAAGGACAAAACATACAATTTAAATAAAAAATTGAATCAATGTAAATGGGGCGTACCATTTTATATACATACAATACATACTTTGAGACTCCAATAAATTGTTTTGACGTTTCAAGTCATCAATATCCTGTTGGTGGGAAGAGTTTTTACGCCGCATATATTGTATATAATCTGCAGCTTTTTTCAAAATTTGAGCTCTGCTCGCAACCTTTTCTCCTTGTAATGAAGGTACAGAGTCTCGAAGACTGGAAAAACTGTCTTTGATGTGATCTCTTCTTTTGCGCTCTAAAGCATTGTGATGTGCTCGTTTTTCAGCCTGTAATATTAAAAGGAACACCTTAATTAATTCTAGACACGTGCACATATTCTACGTACTTGATTAACTGTTTATCAACATCTTCTTTTGTTGCAAAGAAAGATAACCTTACTACTAAAGTAATAATATTATAAGCAACTTTTTTTATGAGGGACTCGGTTTTATGAAAAATGTATGAAACCAATGTATTGATCACAAACCTGTGAATAATATTGCGTGTTATTAGAGTGTCTTTGCCTCGAATCTGAGTCGTCTCCTTCCTGAAGCAAGATTGTAAACAAAATATTAAACAGTGCTACTTAGGCCCGAAATCTTTACTTTTTAGTTTGACATTTTTAACCTGTACTCACGTCACTATAAATATCAATATCTCGGTCATCGTCGCTCATCCTTGATTGTTTAAAACAATTTGTTAATGCCAAAAATCCAGACGATCAGTGGCCTGCAAGTGGGTGATTATTGCTTGACGGGCAAACCACGAAAACGTCAAACGAAAGGAAACAAAATGTTCCTATGATGATCAGCTGATCAGCTAACACTAATAATTTTGTCATTTATAATAATATCCATATGTGATAGAATATAAAAATTATAGAATGTGAAACCATCTGCAAGAAGAATCTATCCGAAAAATTATGAGACAATTTTGCTCTACTGTAGTCAACTACCGGAAGATATGTAGCTGTTATGTTTCCAATTTTTCACACCATGCACAACGTAATAATTACTTTAAGAGATAATACTTCTACTAAACTCAATATTTTCGGCAGCTTTTCGAGTTTTATTTATATTAGAAACCATAAGCACAGATCATCCACCAATTTTAGTCTCGAATGTTTAGAATCCTCTCTGACAAATAAAACGGTGAGTTATGTCAATGGACTGTTTCACGAGTCTTCCATTGAAACGTGGAATGTCCCTAAAGGTTCGTTGTCGAACAGCTGATTTAGCGGGTCTCGTTTTCTTTATATTTCCTGAGTTTTTCATGAAAAGCAGCAACAAGTAGCAAAATAATTAATATAAATTGATGGTAGATCGATAACAAGTTAGAAAATGTGCATTGACGTGTCCTAATGACGTAGCAGTCAAAACGGCAGGAGGGAAATTAGTGTCTAGAAATGTCCACGTATGTCTCAACCTTTTGTTACTGTTAAAAATAAACGATTCCCAAGATCGTGAGAAGAGGATTCGACTTTTCGAATCGGTGATGAGTGTTTAAAGTTTCTTAACCGAACGATGAAGCTCTTTTATGGCGTGGTTTTTTTAATGCTAGCATTGGTTATGGTATCCAATGCAGATGAGGAAGATGGTTTGAAGAAACGAGGCGATATTACGCAAAAGTCAAATTCTAATGAAGAATCAGAAGATGAGAGTTCTGAAGAAGATTTGGAGAATGCATTTGAACAGTTGCGTGAACTTAAAGCACTGCGTGACACAATACTTAAATTAGTGCCATCGTCAGATCCATTCTTGAATGATAAAATCACCAAACAGCAAAAAGGTGACTCTGAGGATGAACCAGAAAATGCAGGCAAGGAACCTCCTGAAAATTCACCCTCTAGAAATGTATGGATGAAAGCTATGATTGCACAGCCAAAAGAAACGGATACGTCAGATTCTAGTATTCTTCAGACTTTGGAGGAAGACGATTGGGACTTACCTGGAGAAGAAGGCTCAGATGAACAAGTTGAAGAAGAAGTTCAAGAGCCTTTAACTCCAAAGCAACAGGAAGGTAATGTAATGATCTTACAAAATTAACCAATTTGCTTAATTAGTTATAACCTTTATATATTATATGATGTTATAACACATCATGATTGATATTAATGAATTCGCTTACAGCTGAAGACTTATTTAACAATGCTCAGGCAATTTTGAATGCAACACGTACAAATAAGGCTGAGGCATATAAACTGCTTGTTGCTGCAGCAACACTAGGACACAGAGAAGCACGTTCCATGTTAGCATGGGCCCAACTTCTAGGAACTCAAATTGGGTCCTCTTCATCACGAAATTCCAATCAAGACATTCCTGCTGCATTGCAAACATTTAAAGAACTTGCTGAGACTGGATTACCTTCTGCTCATATGGTTTGCATAAGCTGTTGACTAGAAAATATATTTAAAATATATAGAAAATCTGTAAATATAATCTTCCATAGGGCATGGGATTTTTATATGCTACGGGTCTTGGAGGTGTTAATGCTTCTCAAGGAAAGGCTTTATTACATTATACAATAGGTGCTCTTGGCAGAGACACTCGTGCACAAATGGCTTTGGGTTACCGTCACTGGGCTGGAGTAACAACTCCTGCATCATGTGAGCGAGCCCTAGATTTCTATCGTAAAGTAGCAAACAAAGTGGCAGAAGAAGTATCTCTCAGTGGTGGACCCGTTGTGCAGAGAGTGAGACTTTTAGATGAGCATGAAAATCCTGGATACAATTCAGGTATACTGGATCAGGATTTGATAGAGTACTATCAACTGTTGGCGGAGAAAGGCGACATACAAGCTCAAGTGGGACTGGGACAGTTACATTATCAAGGTGGCAGAGGGGTACCTCTAGATCATCAAAGAGCTCTTCACTATTTTCAACATGCAGCAGATGCTGGAAATCCGATAGCAATGGCCTTTCTCGGAAAGGTTAGTACAAAATTCTTGTAAAAAACACCGTGTACTATCTGTACGACACTTTTTAACTCTTACCATTTGCAATTAATTACCAGATTTACTTGGAAGGAAGCGATATAGTGAAGCAAGATAACGAGACAGCATACAAGTATTTCAAAAAAGCCGCCGAATTGGGAAATCCTGTGGGACAAAGTGGGCTAGGTTTGATGTATCTATATGGGAGAGGCGTTGAGAGAGACACGGCAAAAGCTTTACAATATTTCAGTCAAGCTGCTGAGCAGGGATGGGTTGATGGACAATTACAATTGGGCAACATGTATTTTAGTGCGTATCATCTCACCGATTAAAATATCTTATCGCCGTGAGAATATTGAAATGAATATAAAAAATACTCTGTTTTACTTTTATTGAATCTAGGTGGAACGGGTGTACGACGCGATTACAAACTTGCAAATAAGTACTTCAATCTAGCAAGTCAATCAGGCCATGTATTAGCTTTTTATAACCTTGCTCAGATGCACGCCACAGGTACTGGCATGATGCGTAGCTGTTCCACCGCTGTAGAATTGCTAAAGAATGTGGCAGAACGTGGAAAATGGAGCGATCAACTTATGGCAGCGCACACGGATTATAGAGAAGGTCGTATAAATGAAGCCTTTGTCACTTATGCTCTTCTTGCTGAGATGGGCTACGAAGTAGCTCAGAGCAATGCTGCTTTTATTCTCGATAGAGGAGAAACGACTATCCTTACCGAAGAAGAGGGATTAGTGAGAGCACTAACTTTTTGGGCTCGTGCTGCTGCACAAGGCTACTCCGCAGCTCAGGTATGCTATCTTTATATTTAATGTTAATGTTGTAAATACTTGAACATTTTTACATTCACTTATACTCGTATAGGTGAAACTTGGCGATGCGCATTACTACGGTAGAGGAACAAAGGTGGATTATGAAGCTGCTGCTAGTCACTATCGCTTAGCCTCTGAACAACAGCAAAATGCACAGGCTATGTTTAATTTGGGATACATGCACGAACGAGGTCTTGGTCTTGCGAAAGATCGTCACCTAGCCAAGCGTTGTTACGACCTAGCTGCTGAAGCCAGTCCAGATGCCCGTATTCCTGTTGCTTTGGCCCTTATCAAGTTATCTCTTCTATTCGGACTGGATTACTTACAAGAGTTCAGCTTGGCTGATCAGCTCGACAAGTGGGATCAATTACTTGGTCAGAACTGGGACTTATACCTCATTGGACTTCTCACGGGCATGCTCAGCCTCGTAATATACTTCCGTAGGCCGCAACCTCCGCTTCAGAGACCAGTACCCCCTGTTAACTAGTCCTACTTTCATACAAACGTTTGGTAAACCGTTAATACAGTGAACCACATTCAGAGTCAACAGTATCGTGTTACGTCTAAATACATTTCTATACTTTATTTTTTTGGTAATTAAATTCTGTTTATATATTGTAAATTTCATATGCCTACCAGTATGGGGCCGTGAGACTGCTTGAATATTCTTTTTGTGAATTCATATTTGATCAAGACATTAAGAAATACTTGATATGAAGATCTTATCATTGGTATATGGAATTTTCGTTTTAGAAAATATTTATAGACCATAACGAAAGTACGTATTTCATATGTGGTTAAATTATTCACAAATACTCTGTTTATTGTTGTTTCTATGATATGAATATGAAAACAGGACTCTGAGCTTGGTTCTTAAAGTTATTATGTGATGAGAATGTGAGAAAGTGAATAAAATAACAAATAACCAAATAGAGTGAGATGGCTTATAAAACGTCTTCTATTTCCTAGTACACGTCTAACAATAAAAATACAATATGATAGGACGATGATGATACCAAAATGAAAATCCAGTTTAAATAACCGTGCTCGACTTTCGACCAGTTGATTTGCTCGGTAACGATATGTCGATCAGTACATAGACGAAGATAAATGATTCAGTTAAAATTTAATATATTGAGTGATATGCATTTGTTGTTACTTTAGTTTGTATAAAACTTTAAAGGACTCCAACGAAGTGCTGTAAAATAAAATAAATGTCGACTCGATATCTTTTTATGTGAGGTAATGATTCCTGTTTTACATTTATCATAGTCTTTTATTTATTTTGCCTTTTTCGCGTTTACACGTGTAAATACCACTTGAAGTAAAAATAAATTTTAAGGTAATGTTCTAAACAAACTAATACCAATAAAGGTGGCCCACCATGGAAGTTCACACTTGTAGGCTTTTAAAGAATTTGTTTCCTCGCAATTTTACTGCGTTCGACCGGCTAGTATGTACTTACTTTTCCATAAAAATTATGTAGCTCTTTACACCAGTGATTCACAACTATGTATGTTTGCTATGGTAACAAGCGATATTGGATATAACAAATCATGGAGCATATTTTTTTTTCTTTGACAAGAGTGACATTCCGCATTAGCAAAATTTGTATGGTATTTTAATAAAATGTCGAATATCTTTGTACTAGATTCTAATATTTTTCTATTCATAAATAGACACCTGCCAACCTCATAAAATAGCCTAACGTAACAAATTCTTATACAAGGCAAACAGTGAAATTTTTAGTGTCGGAATGCCAAAGAAAAAAGGAGGTGCAGAAAAAGATAAGAAGGTCAGAAAAAAATGTTATATGAACGAGAGGGAGACGTTGTTTTATGAACAACAAATTCTTGATAATAACAGACAATTAGCGCGGTAAGTGAAACTATCTTCAGCGTGAACCAATCTTTCAGTTTTGGAATATTTAAGTATGACTATTATTCAATTATTACAGATTACGATCGCGCAATGAGGAACTCGAGGATACTGTCGAGGAATTAAAAGAAAAATTGCGTCAATTAGAGGAAGACCGTTCAGACGTGGTAGCTCATTTGAAACGTGTGCTCCAGTTAAAGACTGAAGAAGCTCGTGAATTGAATGAACGGTTATTGGCTTTGGAAGAATTACGGAAAGAGGAACAAATTGCGAATAAGAAGAAAGAAGAGGCGATGGAATTGGAATATCATACTATGGAGAGTAATTTGTCAGCTGAATTGAAACTTGCAGCTGGTAAACTAAACGCATTAGAAGATTGGAGAGCGGCTCGACTTGATTTAATGAACAAATTTGAAGTACAAGAGGAACAAATGGCAGAACAAGAAGAGCGACATAAAAAAGCGCTTTACGATGCAGAAAAAGCTTTGATTATCGGCAAGGCTAAGTAATGAATATATATTATAATATTACTTTTATATACTGTCACGCAACTTAATATACGCAATATGATCTTAACGCAACTCATTTTTTTTCTAGGATGAAAAAAGAAATGGAGGAACGTCTAAATGAACTGGCTCAAAGCTTTAGAGAAGCTACGAACATTCGTATAGCCGATGCTACTCATCGTGCGATTAGAGAAAATATAGCTCTTAATAAAGAACTCGACGCGATGCTCAACGTTTGCCATGACTTGGAGTCAAAAACTAAGGAATACAAAGAACGAGATCGTATGTTGCGACTACAAGCATCTCTTTTTGAAAACGAAGCGAAAATGGCACTTGCTAAGACGATCAAGCAAAATAGTTTGATTGATAAGCTCGCAGAAGAGCATAGGAATATGACTTTGAATTATGGGAAAGTGTGTCGGGAAGACACTTGGGCTCGCAATAACGAACAGATCATACAAGATTACAAGAACAAGTGTGCAGATATTGAGAATAAAATAAGAATTCTTGAGCAGCACATACAACAGACCAAAGAGAGCAAAGAACAAGTCCTGAAAGAAATACGCGGCAGTTCTCAGGAAATTCAAAGACTCAATAGAGTTTTGAATGAGGCTAGAAGATGCATCATGGAAGCTTTACAGCTTCAGGCAGCGGTTCAGGAAGAAGATGTTTGTACCATGTGCTATCCTAATGTCAAGGAGAAGCTTTTGCATTCCCTCTTAGACATTTTAGGAAGGCAGGACTGTCCGTCACTCCCGGAAAGTCGGAGTCCTTCTCAAGTATGGTTTTTTAAAATGAAGATTGACAAATTGATGAACGCTTCATGATGTTCTTTTGTAATATTTGCATCATTTTATTCAGGTGGAAAGTGTGGACAGTAAATATACGTATGGCAATCTGGGTTTAGTACCAAACACAAGACCCTGGATTACAATGGAGCAGGAGTTACTACATGAATCAGAAAAAGAGGACAAATGTTATCTATCTGAGGATGGCAAAACCGAACGTACGGAATTCTCGAATGAAATGAAAATTCAAGAAAACGAGAAAACAGACACAGTACCAGAATGTTTGTTAGAAGACACAGAGAGCTCAGATATTCTGTCTCCACGTGAAACGGAATCCGATCAATCCGACCATTAAAATTACATTTTCTAAAAAACTGTTATATTATTATCATTATTATATATTATTTTGTTTATTGATGTAATTAAGTTTATTCATGTCGTTGCACTGATTGCAAGGATACAAAGAGTGTGTACTTTTATTGTAGTTGTCTATAATATATGTATAGATCTAAGCAGAATACATATTTTTTATATTTCCACACCAGTGCGAATGAAGCATACAAAACAGTTGATTTGTAAAAGAGAATAAAACAAAAATCAAGACAATATTATCAAATGTTAAAACAATGGAAATGCATATAAGCTAATTATTCCTGCTAACGGTAGTAATCGCTCTTTTAATTTGTATACTATATACTTTTTGTTGGTAAATAAAAAATCTTTTGAAGGCGATAATTTAATACAGTCAAAATGGTAGACCTTTATGGAAAAGATAAACGTAATATTTCACTACCGAGCCGATTACAACCATTAAATATTGAGGATTCCGAAATGGAAGATCAAAAGGATAAAGTGGTAATTATCAACATGCAAAAGGCTATGTATGATATACGAATTGCTGATTTAGAAACACGTATAAAAAGGTCATTGGTATACATAAAACAGTTTTGATTGCAATTTTGATCTATAATTATTATGAGATTTCCCATTAGATTGGAGACACGAAATCAGGAACTTTTGGACACGTCCAATAGTACAGAATCTCGCATTGATAGTACAGACTTAGAAACTGCTGATAACATAGCGCAATTCAATCGACAAATATTTGTCGAAACAAGCAAAACAGATGAGTATAATAAGCGCATGGATATGCTAAATAAACGAAAAGCCGAAGAGAAAACAACTCATAATAGAAAGCAAGAACTTATGGAGAAACAGTTTTCGAATACTCGATTTGAGTTGACTTCTAAGATAAAATTTCTAAGTAATGTTGAAATTATGTTATTTTAAACAAAGAGATTAGACCGTCATTAATACGTATAGAAGTTACTAGACGCAAAAATCAACACTTTGGAAGATTACAAAGTGACAAAGCCATCTCTTCACGAAAAACTAAGAGAAAGAAATGAATTGATGGCGGAAAAGGATATAGAAGTTGCACGAAAATTGGAAGATATCGAGAAAAAACATAATATCGATACAGAAAAGTACGTTTACGGGTATCAAAATGAATAATTGCTAAATCGAGGTTAATAAAACAAACTCCTTGTAATTCTAGGTTGAAAAATGAAATGCATACGAGACTTTTTGAATTGGCTGGAACATTTCAAATTGAACTGTCCAGTAATGTAGCAATTCCCGTACATAGATTGATGCGCGAAAGTATCTTAGTCAAGAACGAATTAATACAAATAGCGAATGAGTATATGCTTGTCAAAGAGAAGAACCGTCGCAAAGAGTAAATATATAGAGTCCGTGTCTAATTAACATTGCAAAATTTATTTAATTCTTTGTTACAGACATAATTTCAGTTTGTACGAAGAAGAGATAAAAAATGGTCGGGCCGATAAATTTCGATATGTAATTATTGCAAAAATTCGGCGTGTTTTACTTAATGCGTTACGCGAAATGCATAAAGAAATGAGTAGACGACAAGATCTTTATACGCTAACATCTATATCGTATGAAGATTCACTAAAACTCAGAGAAGATGCAAAAATACTAGCAGATGCCTGTGCTACACGCCTAAGTAAATTTGAGGTTTTACTTCACCGAGAACAAGTCAAACTCGGGCTGGCAAAATATAGTAGGAGAAAATTAAAAGCAGTTATAAGAAAGCTAATTGATACTTTGTACGATGTAAAATACGTAGCAGCATGTGCATTGAAGGTAACAAACGGTGGTTTCGTGTTGATTGTATATTTTTTATGGTATATACATAAATAACTTCCCTAATCAGATCACAGGAACGGGAGAAGATATTTTAGAAATGGGAGATACTCAATTAATGTCGCATTTGTTGGACATTCTTAGTCGTCCTAAATTGTTAATGTCTGCAACAAAAGTAACATCGTACGTGTTGCGCAAATGTTTCTTTCGTCAGACAATATATTAATCCTATCGCATATTTTTTTGAAGGACAAAGTCAGTGCTTAGAGCGGATCATATTTATAAGATTGGAGACTTGGAATTCGAACCTAAGCATATTAATATCGATCCCCAAAAACTAATTAAGGAAAAGGAGCCATCGGAATTGAGCACACTAAAAACTTTAAAAAACCTTGGGATCGATTTATTTGCAGAATCCGATGATTATGTAGTTGCCGTATGTCCATATTTCTATTAAATAATTTTTTATTAAGTGTGTTAAGAAACGATAATTTCAGGATCAAATGGAATATGCGACAAAGGTAACAGAAGATTTTGAAGAAGAAGCAAGTAACGAATCAACTACATCTACACAGTCGTTTGAAGAAATCCCGGAAATGGAATTAAAATTAATGTCTGAGAACGGCTCAATGAGTCCAGAGGACGAGACATTTGAAGATGTAGAAACAGGAGGAGAGTAATCTAGAATGTGGTTAACTATAGGTATACTACTAGAAATCTGAAGTTATAATTCAGTCTATTATTTAAGATTTAATTGAACACATTTATAAAGTTTAAAAATATATCCCGTATTTATTAAGCTACATTATTTTTTTGCAATGATACATATATACCTCAATGAAAAATATGCGGGCAAAGTAACGTTCCATCAAGTCACAAAGATCTCAGCAGTTGAATTATTGTAATGGAATTTTGTGGTCAGGCTTTATAAATCTTTTTACCTTTAATTTGTTACGTTTTCTATAAAAGAAAAAATTATGAAATATTAATATACCAGAAATAAATTTGAGCAAATATGTCTCGTACAATAAAAATACTTACAATATTAGAGCACTAGGTGCTAGAATATTTCTTTGTTGCAGAGATTTGAAACGATCTTTAAGTAGGTTTCCAACTGGTGCACTAGCTCTTAGACTACCTGCAAGCTCATTTGCCATTTGAAAATCAGGTTCTGGAGCCTCAAACTTTCTTTTATTTAAAGTTTTAGGCTCAGTCATCTTTCGTTGTTTAAGTTTCATTCGTTTTTCTCTCAACTTTTTTGCTTTTAATTCTTTGGAAGTAAGCTGTTTCTCAAGCAATCGAAGTTTATATACATCTGCAACTTTTTTCTTTTCTAGTTTCTCCTTAGCTTGTTTAAGAGCTAATTGTTTTTGTTCTTTCTGTTTTCGCCTTTGTACCAATGTTTTCTTTGCATTTTTAACTGGCGGATTTACTGATTTAACTACAGGATCAGTATCTTCTACATTCGAGTCTTCAGAATTTTTGTTGGATTTTACTGGTAAACCTTCTGATAATTCATTTATCCAATTTTCAGTTTTCTTCTCTGTTGTTACCTAATAAAATAAGATATAACTTTAGAAAATTATTCCTTATGAAATCGTAATTTTGAATGTCAAACAGTATGTACTAGCTTTAGTATCTATGTTATCACTTTTATTACCTTAGTAAACATTTTTGTAGTAACCCTTTTCAAGTGTTCCTCCTCTTTAATTAATTTCTTTTCCTTCTCCGCAATGGCAATTAATAATTCCTGATGATCATTATAGGATGGATTATAAGATGTACCAGGATGTGGAGCTTCTACAGCTGGTAGAATAGATGGCTTTTTATAAAGAATTTCTGGCACCCTTTTACGCTTTTGACCTGTGTTTGCCAAAGTGTGCCTAATCGTATCAGATATCAGCCATTCACTATTTAGTTCTGATTGTGTCACAGGTTTGTCTTCCCAGATATCAGTTGTAAAATCACCTCTTTTAAATCTTGATTTTCTTTTAGATTCTGCAATAGCCTTGTTTCTTTCTGCAATCTTTTCCTTCAACTTTAATTGACCATTCAATTTCCTCTTAGCTTCCTTAAGTCTTGTGATAGGATTCTTCCGTTCTTCAGGCGTTTTCACACGATTTCTCTTGGCAATCGGATCAGGAACCGCTGTATGTGGTTTTAGGATAGCAAAACATCGTGGCTCTTTTTGTTTCAAGGCAAGACGACGTTCCTTCTTTGTGGTTAATGTTCCAACAGGTTCATTATTCCGTTCATTATCAATGACAAAGAGTTCAGAGTCTAACCTTTCCGAAAAAGGCGTTCCAAGCCGTTCGTCGAGACGCTTATTTTCCAAAAACTTATCGACATCTTTTATATCAATATGTTTTCTCCAAGACCGCTTCGTCTTCTTGGAAACCGTTCGTTTCTTCGCCTCAACTTTAACCATTTTCGCAATAGTAATTCCCTGGATACTATAAATGTATGACTCACTTTACTTTTTCCATATAGCAATATAACTAATTATTATATTGATTCTTTCAAATCCATACGAGGTTTGTCACTTTAGAAAAGAAAGATTGTATGCAGAAGGTTAATATTCCTTCCTTCCTTCGTTCCCTTATGGCGGCCTCCTCCAATGAGATGTGCCAAAAAGGTTAACTTATACCCGTTCTACACCTCAGTGAAGTTAGCCGGGCAATTTTAACTTTTTAACTTTTTATCATACCAAATCGATTGGTGGTCATTGGTGGCCTAAAAAAACATTTGGTGGTCAGTCGTTCTTTTATAATGAAATAATCAAAATTTGACCGTGAAGTTAACCGATATTTTTTTTTTCATGTTTTAATTAGACTACCAATCGTCGGCTAATGTTTCTGCTTTGAACAGGACCATGCCGAGCAAAATCGGTTTAGAATTATAAGTTTTATCACGTAAAATGTGTTTCGACACGATACCCCTGTATCCATTTCTCAGCCAATCACAGCCTTTGGTGCTCGCCGTGTAGCGGAGGTATGACTTTTCATACCTCGTGCATTAATTGATGACCACCAAATGTTTTAATTCGACTACCAATCATCGGCTAGCGTTCTTGCATTGATTAATTCTTTCGAAGGGAGAATCTGTTCAGAAATATCTGTTTTATCGACCGTAAATGTGTGTTCCTACACCCATATCCAGTCAATGCTGGACACTGCAATCGTTTTTTAAATTTTTTACGAAAACTAGCGACCACCAAACATTTGAATTATTATATTCGTTACCACCAAACGATTACGCATCGATTGAGCACCTAAAAAACTTAATTCGTTGAAAAAAAAAAATTTCGGCTAACTTCACGGTCAAATTTTGATTATTTGATTATAAAAGAATGACTGACCACCAAATGTCGTTATTAGGCCACCAATGACCACCAAACAACCACCAATCGATTTAGTATGACAAAAAGTTAAAAAGTTAAAATTGCCCGGCTAACTTCACTGAGGTCCGTTCTACCACCTTCCTTCCTTCCATTCCTTATGGTTGTATCCCCAATGGGGGACATGTGCCAGTAACTGGTCCTAATAATCAAGGTTGGAAGTTCGACAATAGATGGCGATGTACCTTGCGAGACGGGCTTTATTCAACTCAGCGTGAGGGGACCTACAAAGTTTATACACCAAATCCGAACAGTGTTGGGCGAAATCCGTATAAATACTCACTTAAGTTTTCATATTAAAACCCATTGGTGAATGCCGCTGGAAGCTAGGCGCGAACCTCCAACTTTTCGGTCGTGAATCCGCTACCCTATCCACTGGGCTACGGCACTCACTTAAGTTATCATATGAAAACCCATTGGTGAATGCCGCTAGAAGTTGGGCGCGAACCTCCAACCTTTCGGTCGTGAATCCGCTACCCTATCCACTGGGCTACGGCCGCCCCAACACGTGAAAATCCAATGATTTTTACATAAACGATACAATTTCATGATCGGGAACTACCATGTGGGGCCATAGCCAGTACCAATGTGGGTTATAGTGGACTACAAAAAGATCCCTAGATGATGACTTCCAAGAATTTACCTATATAAAGTTAGCTGAACATCTTTAACTTTTTAATCCTTTCCTTCTTCTAATCGTTTGGTACTGATTGATAAACTAAATAGAACGGTTGGGGGTCCATCTTTTTTTAATATCAAAAACGAAATAATCGACCTGTTTGCTGAACAATTTTTATTTTTAACCAATATGGCCATGGAAGAACGTCATGATTCAATGCAACGTGTCCAGATACCCCTATATCCATTTTTCGGCAAATCAGAAGTCTCGGCGATCCGCGCAAACGACGAGTACGATTTTAATTATCTCATAGGTAATATACGTTTGCTTATTCTAAACAGACTAACAATCGTTAACAAATGATTGCGCTTCGATTGTGTTTATAAATAAAATAGGTTCAGAAATAGTACATTTATTCACATACCAATGGGAACTTAGATTTACACAATCTATTGAGTTATCCCGACTATTTATCCATAAAGGGATTTTCTTATTTCTTTCAAATCTGCAGATCACAAACGTTTTAATTAGAATATTCATGACTACAAAAAAATTCCGCATTGATTACAGCTCTTATGGAACTAAACTGATTGAGAACGAAAATTGTCTACCCAACTGGAGTCGAATATTATGTTTCTGATATTTAAACAAAATGATTCACCACCAAAGATTTTATTTATTTTAGTTAATTATAAATCTAGTAATCATCATCAAACTACCACTAAACGATTAGAAAATAAAAAAAGTTAAAATTTAAGGTTGTTTGTCTAACTTTAACGGGTCAAGATTATCACTTCATGCAGTGGTTATCAATGTAATGGCGCGTACAAGAAGATGAACTCATGTTAATACGCACTATGAAATTTATACATTTCTGAATAATTTTCTTTGAAAAATAAAACTTCTATAGGGAAATATTAATTTCTTTTTCTGTACATAAATAACTTGGTATGAGTTAACGGCATTTAAGTACAAACGAATTTTGGTTTGCGCATGTTTTTAATGTCGTATCATCTGCGACTACTGGCGACAATCGGTACAAGCTAGCCACAACACGAAGGAAAAATCGCGGTGTCGAATGGCTGTCATTGCTTCTTCTGACAGATGTTTCGTGTGATTAATTTGCTTTGTTAATTAGCTTGAAAAAGATTTTCGTGAGTGTCATACTCTACGTAGACGTAGCAGTTCACGTAGGAGAATAGTTGGCGCAGTAGGGTGTTTTATTTCGTGGTAAATGTCTAGCATACGCAGCGGCTACATCTCGCTAAGGATTTGGAATTTAGGATTCTGAGCCAGCTGTCCTCTTCACCAGTAGGAACAGCACCACCACATTACTACCAGCACTACTACCATCATCGTCATCATCATCATCAGTACCACACCGCAAATACGAAACATCCGGGCACGGGTGCCAGTAGTGTAGTAGTGATTAAATAATAATATTGAAGCTGTTCGCGGCTGGGTACGAGCACTCGTGAAAAATGGCAAAGACCTATGACTATTTATTTAAATTACTGCTTATTGGAGACTCGGGCGTAGGCAAGACGAGCATATTATTCAGATTTTCAGAAGATGCGTACAACTCGACCTTCATCTCCACCATTGGTATGTATTACTTCTATTATCATTTTCGTTCCTCTTATCTTACCATTAGTTGTTCTTATTGGACAGCAGCGGCATCCTGCATGTTTTAATATCATGAGGGTGTGTCTACAGTGGATGTACCTTATCTATAAACCCTACTTCTTAAGAGACAAAGGGTACATTGTATTGGAACCAGATCTTCGACACCTGCACGAGTCATCTAGTTTATTCTATATCATTCTTCACAACATTAGCATATCCTAACCTAGTGAGATCTTTATATGGTTATCAGAAATCTTTATTAACGCTACTCTATTGAAATATTTTTCTTAGTTCTGTTATGAAAATTTTCATTCATGAAAAAATAATTTGGAAATGTTATACTGAATGGTTGTTCTGTAATTAATATCAAAATATCATATTGCACTATAAGTTAATTAACTCTTTTAAAATATTGAACGCAGCACATCTAGTATTTTATATATATATTTATTATTTATTTGTGTATTAGGATTTCAAATAAGTTGCAGCCGATTCATGTACATATTATCAGAATTTAGGACTATTATGGTCTGCTATCCATTTTATGATAACTTGGCTGCTACATAAGTTATTTCTGGTAAAATGGTATATTCATAACTTTAGTTTTAGCAACAGGTCTTTGAAAAATAAGATTTTATTTTGCTTCATATGTAGCAATTAATCTGCTGCCTATATTTGTTCCTTGTTCTCTTATCCAACTTCCTTTAGTCATCTTATACCTTTTGGCTATTGGCCAAATAAATTAGATCCTTAGTTGATTGGATTGGACGCTTAAGTGTACAAACTGCTCTTTAATCAGAGATAGATGTTACTTTAAAGGACTTTTTTAACTTTAAAACTAGTTTCTAACTGAGATTTCTCTTTTCAGGAATTGATTTCAAGATCCGTAACATTGAGTTGGATGGCAAAAAAATTAAGTTGCAAATATGGTAAGTTCTAATTAGATATATTTTAAGAGACTTACATAAGTATATTATCAGTATATTATAGTTATAATTTTATATAAATTATTGAAAAACTCTTTAAGGGACACTGCGGGGCAAGAACGGTTTCGTACAATAACTACAGCATATTATCGTGGAGCAATGGGTATAATGTTGGTGTACGACGTGACCAATGAAAAGAGCTTTGAAAACCTCAAAAACTGGATTCGCAACATCGAAGAAAATGCGTCGTCAGACGTAGAAAGAATGATACTCGGTAACAAGTGTGAACTTACAGAGAAGAGACAGGTGTATAAGGAAAGGGGTGAACAATTAGCTGTGGAATATGGTATTAAGTTTATGGAAACATCAGCAAAATCTAGTATCAATGTTGAAGAAGCTTTTTACACCTTGGCACGTGATATTAAAGCTAAAATGGAAAAGAAATTGGTGAGTTTATTCGTACGTTTTAATAATATTATTTTTGTAACACGATTTTCATATCGTTTATTTCATTATAAACTTTGATCTTTATATCTTTGCTTCTCTGTATGTTATAATTTCCATTATTCATTGCACTATTAATTTCTTACTTTTCAATTCCAAGTAAAATATTTGTCTTGTACTGGTGAAAGAAGTATTTGAACTTTATTCATTATTAACATTAGAAAATGAAAGTATTATCCTCAGATATCACTTTCTGCAATTACATTGAAATTCTTAAAAGTATTTATTTAATATTCATAAGTATCATTAAATTTCTTTTATCAACTTCATTCTCTGATGATATTGACTCATACTTTTAAAGTGGCACAAAATAACGATTGTTTCTCTGTTTCCCATGTCTCTTTCTCTGTGTTCGGTGCGGGTCTATCTTGGCAGAAGGTAACTCTATCCCTAAACTGTCTTTTAGTTACTAACTTCCTGACAATTTGATGCTATTATTGCATTCTGCAACCTACTATTATATAGTTATGTGTATGGCTACCGCCAACGAAAAGGAATCTATTTATAGGAATAATACTATTGATTCCTTAGTAAGACCTATACATATTTGGCCCAGTTCAAAAGGGCAATGTAAATGCACTATTTATTTTTACTATTACGATATTAATAGTTTTGAAGTAATATATAATTGTATGCAGATCAATGTGTATGAAAATATGATATCAGGCAGAAATATTTGTCATATTTTAAAGATATATATTAAAAAATATATATATACATACACAATAATGCACTGGTCGTAAGAAAAGGAATCACTGTATATTTGTATCTGTATATCAAGTCTTTTAAAAGTTAATTAGAGGCATCTCAATCAAGAAGGAAAAGATTGAACATTATTTACTTTGTTCATTTTTTGAGGCTTATGTTTTTAATATAAAAAATTCGTCACTTCCACTATATATTGATAACACAAACTGTTTTCTCGTATCTAATCACCAGAATTAACTGTTTTCTTTTTATATTGCTGTTTATCTTTTCATTCTGTATAAGCACTATATTTCACACTTTGCATTATGCATTATCTTTCTATTTTTGTCTCCTATGTTATTTTTTATGTGGTGATGGTCCAATAATACAATAATAGATTATAATTAACAACAGTAACCAGTTTTTATTACGGTTATATAGTTTTAGAAAATGATTATAATTTTACCAGCTTTTCACGTTAATACAGCAGTATGATTATCTGCATTATAATTTATTTAATTGATATGCCAGTTTGCAGTATCTCACCGATTAATATTCTAATCGATTGACCATTCCTAGATTTTCAAAAAAGATTATCTGATTCAAATGAAAATTATATAGAATGGAGTGTCAATTCGATTGACAATAAAAATTTATTTCACACGCCGTATATCTCTTTATTCTGCAGGAAGCGTCGAATCCACCTAAAGGAGGTGGTCACCAATTGAAATCTTCAGAGCCGCAAAGGAAGCCTCCAAGTTGGATCACTCGCTGTTCCATACTCTGACCCCACCAACCCTCATCAACCCCTTAACAAGGCCCATTTGTCTACTATTATTATCTACTTATGTTCTTTTCGTCGAACAAGATTCATGTTCAACGAGGCTGCACATGTGCTTGCTTCTGGGCTCTGTGATTTTACTCCTTGATAATGGATTTTTTGCAACATTTAGGTGGTGTTTTTATAAATTATCGATATTCAACGTTTTCCTACTGGAGACTGCGGGGGAGAAACTATCGAGGTCACAAGCTGGAATTGCTATTTCACTGTATGATTTCATCATACTTAGTGATTTTTTATGAAAGAGTTATATTGTTTTACGGATGGGGTAATGTAAGCAACTGTTTGTGCAAGTCCAATACTCGTGTGATAAGGTACTGCGACTTCTTACGTTATATCAGTATTGAAAATATTTTAGTTAACAAAAAAATTGCGAGAAGCACTTCCAGCGTTACAAGCTGTTATAATTTTTTCACAAGATTTTAATTTGGTATTTGAACTATTTCAAAAGATATATGTGACAAATTATTTTAAAGTTGCGGCGACGCACCCCTTTCTTTTTTATCTGATCGTGAATGGTATTATTGGATCGTTTCTCCCCTGATTTACTCATACAATGACGAAGCATCAACGACTACTACTTGTGAAAAAAAAAATCCAGAATTATGTATGCAACGGAAATACAGATTATTTCATTGTAGACAGATAAAAAAAGCCCGTATTATGATGCCGTAGGTATTTTTGTGTTATGATTTCAAGCATCACATGTGTGTATCAATAAGACATCACGTATTGCAACAATAATGAATAGTGAATATCGAGGAGAATCGCATACAATAACTAATTAAATAAGGCCATTCAAATACGGAGACCACGATCATTTTTTCACACTGTAATTACTCAATAGCTTTTTCACAGAATTAACAAGATAACAATATTAAATATTTTAGTGAAGTAATTGTTATATTAATTGAAGTAACAAAAATATGATGGGTGTGTCGTACGATGGTGGAACAGGATGAATCGTAGTATGATTCGAACATCGAGGTGGTTAAAGGATGAACTCAATCTGTTAATTGAGTCAAGATTTGGCAATTATCCGCGAGGATTACTTTCCTGGAGAAATTTACCTTAAGTAAGCATAGGCGGGATTTATGTACAGAGGACCTTTAATGAAAAGTTTTTATTATTTGCTTGTTGTTTGTCGCGGCTTGCGTGTCCTTATCAATTCTGCATTTTAATCTTTGGACTTGTTTCGATTCAGACTTGAATATACAAACGACTATAATAATACATTTTATATTAATCCTATATGTTTGTTTATGCGTGTTTGTTCAATATCCCATCTTTCCCTTTGGTCTCCTGATATTTTTTATCATATGAACTTAAGAAAGCCTTGTGCGATATTACTGATATTTTATAACCTTTTTTAAATTCTTTGTCTGCTTTTGAGTTCATTTTTTATTCTGCGTATTGCTTAACGATCGTCACGTTGATTAACACTATTAACAATATCAGTATTGATGCTATTGTGAATAGCATTTAACTTATCATTGAATTCTTTATCACTTTCTACTTTCAGTGTTAGTTCTTTTAACAATTGCTCCATCTGTTGAGTCATATACATATATATTATTTATTTAAATTCATCTCAGAAGACTACTATTTCTAATATATTACCTGTATGCGGGTTTCTTTAATTTGTGGATCTTCAGAATTTTTATTTTTTGAGGCAGTTTCAACAGATTGTGAAGCGAGTTGCTCTTTCAGTTTTCTAATTTTCCTACTGTCATTCTGATGAATAGCATGTGCACACAAACCAACCGTTTGCAAACGTTTATTCAATTCAATTGTTCCTTCCACATTGTGACGTAAAAGCTTATGTTCCTGTTGAATTTTTTCCATGTTACTGTAAAAATTGATTAAAAAGATGTTAATGCATGAAATATGTAACAGCTGCCTTGATATTACAGAAATAGTAATTACCGATTCATGATATCTATTAGACAGGTCATTTCGTCCGTTATCTCAATTAACGATTTCTCTAAGATTTTATTATGGGTATCTTTGCTTGCTATCCCTAATTCTAAATCTTTCGCCTTTTGTTTTAACTTTGAATTTTCAGTTTTAGCGATTCTTGCTTGCTCAATCAAGGAAGTACGTTCTCTCGAAGTTAATTCATTATGCATTTGAAGCTTTGTTAACTCAATTTGACTCTGCGCTTTTTCTTCTTCCAAACGGCGTACAATTCCCATTGCAGCCTCCAGCTGATGTTGTATTTCTGCAGAGGATCTGCGTTCGTCTTCCAACGAACTTTTTAAATCGTAAGCAAAATGTCGAGCCTCAGCAAGTTCTGCCTTTGTCTCCTCCAAAGCATCCTATCCGTTTACATTTGACTCAGTATATTTTTCAATATACGTTATTTTTTTCAAATTCGCGAATTTCTCAAATGTTATTGATGAATTACTCACGGATTTCCACTGTAGTTCATATAATTTTTCTCGTATTTGAAGTTCCAAATGAAATATATCAAGATTCGTGGCCTCCTGATTTTCCTCCATGGCGAGTGCAGTTTGGTGAAAAGCATTACTTTCAGTTTTCATGATGGCTCATACCCCGATTGATTTTTTGCATTTGAATTGGCAAAATTGCAATATGATACCGTATACAATTGTGGTAGAATATGGTAGAGAAAGACACTTTAATAAAATATCAAAGTAATTTTTATTCAATAATTTGATATTATAAAACGGAAATTTACTAAAAATATATGATTTGTATACACTATCAATGACTATCCATAAACTGTATGTCAGAGAGTAAAAGGACGGTGTTTGGTAATGGTCTTGGTTGAGGGCTCAGAACAGTAAAGGTTTGTCGTTCTACGTCAACATTGGTCCTGAAACAAAAAGTATTTCTAAAATAAGAAATATTTCTTAAATCGTTATTCTTAATTTAATGGATATAATTCAAATTACACGCAAACAAATCCAGCGACATTGGTTTGAACGACGTCATCCTCCGGGGAATCAGCAAAAGACACAGAGAGCAAGTGATGCAATAAATTTGGTCCTGGAGTTACAGCTACTAGCTTTGTTAAATTATCCTCAGCTTTCATTCCAAGCGGCATACAAGAGGCAGGAAGGACAGGTGCTCCAATTTTGTAGAGTCGAGCCTCACTCCATTTTACCTCAAAACTATGTGGATATAGAGGTGTACGGGACCCATAAAAATATTCTCGAACTCCTTGATCTCTAGCCTCTATTCTTTGTGTCTGACTTCTTTCAACAACCCCACCACTTTTAGGTAAAAATACTACCTTTACAAAGTCTGGTATATCCCTGACAAGTTCATTGTAAAGTCTTTCTTGATCTAATACTAATATCGCATCAACTTCAAATGCTTGAGCGGCATGAGTAAGAAGTTTGTAACCACCTCCTTTTACCCACCCACAGGTATTAATAACAATTCCAGATACCCTGGCTTTTTTATTTGCTTGTAATCTGTCGGAGCATACTTCTGCAAGGCGTGACACTAAGAGATTATACAATGCAATATTAGCACTTGGAGTTTTATGACCAAAATGAAAGACTAGTGGTGCCTGTTGACTAAAACCTTCTACAACATTAGAAGGTCTTTCTACCAGTAATGCACCAACTGTTCCGGGAATTGCTATATGTCCTTGTCCAACATCAAGATCTACAAAAACTGGTCGTCTTCCCATTCGAACTGCATAATTTAATAGTAGTCTGCACAATGTTGATTTTCCAACATCACAGGGTCCAACAACCATAGTAATAGGGCCTCTAGTGTCATCTTTTTCAGCTGCTTCTCTCATTCTTTCCATAGCTGCATGACAATTTAAATATAATCCCATAGGTGTTTCTTTAGCAACATAACTGACATCCGTTTTTCCAACTAATTCCACTGTGCATCCTTGCCATGTGTAAACAGCTACCTTGGCGCCTGCAGTAAATTCATACTTTTTGCCTTTTACAAGTTCTGTACCAAATACTTCCGCCAGTCCAATTTTAAGCTACAATATAATATAATGTTAGTTCAAATATTCATTATCAGTGTCATATTGTGTATTAGCTGCATCACAATATGTTTCATGTATAGAAGTAAATCTCGCAAATACCTCTAAAGTGACTTTCTCGTTTTTACTTTCCACTTCGAAACGGAGTTCGCAATCTGGATCAAGTTTAAACTCCTGAGACGTAGTCTTTTCTTCTGACATTATTAAAATAATTATTCTTTCTTAGTAACTGTCAATAACCTTCAAAAGCCGTAGAGTGTGGTTATCTTTTCTGACACAAATCGATTCAGCTTACTATTCTTCGCCTTATTGGTTAGTTTTCACAGAATCCTCCAATAACATAGTGTATCTAAGAGAAATGTGCCGATCTGTGTCAATTGCGTAGGATATCTTACAATACAGTTTGTATTGTGATACAGTTCGTATATAAATGGTTTAGGTATTTATATTGACATAGTTCATATTAGTAAGAATAAATGATAGATTTCAAATAAATTTCCGGCTGAGAATGGTTAGTTTTAGTTAATTGCAACTTTTAAAATCATTTGAACCTATGTTTGGTGACCGACTGTCAGTCGTGGATATATTACATTATGTTTACACCTCTGACGTTTGTTATTGGAATACGGTGTTGGGAAAAACAGGATTTATTAAAAAGATTGGCGTTCTTAGTGAAAAATATGAGAACAATTTTTGTGTGATAAACTTGATAGTTTTATTTCATTGTTAAAACATTGATATACGTTAATTTTGACTACGCTTAACCTATTTCAAGTCACATTTTTTTGTGCTTTCTTCAATCTATTTAGATATTTTAAATATAAGGAGATGGAAGAACAAGCGTGTCCACGTTGCAAGACAACGAAATATCGAAATCCATCCCTTAAGTTGATGGTCAATGTTTGTGGTCATACTTTGTGCGAAAGCTGTGTTGATCTCCTATTCCTCAAGGGTTAGTTGCTATACTTTAGTAGTATAAATTTGTTTTACATATTATCCTATTCAAAATGTACCTATTATTTTTTCTTGTTACAGGTTCTGGAGCGTGTCCAGAATGTCAGATACCTTTAAGGCGCACAAACTTTCGTGTGCAGATGTTTGAAGATGCAATGGTAGAAAAAGAAGTGGATATACGTAAGAGAATATTACGAGACTTTAACAAGAAGGAGGAGGATTTTGATACACTACGGGAATATAATGATTATATAGAAGATATTGAAACCATTATATACAACCTGGCAAATAATATAGATGTAATGGAAACAAACAGAAAGATTGAGCAGTACAAGAAGGACAATCGGGAACAGATAATGAAGAATAAATCGAAATTAGGGCGTAAGGAGTATGAGCTGGAAGAATTGTTAGAGCTAGAAAGACAACAAGACGAGGAACGTAAGCAAGAACTAATTCGTCAGGAGCTAGAAAATAAAAAGAAGAAGATCCGCGAAAAGGAAGCTCTTATAGACGAATTAATGTTCTCTGAAGGAAATGCCAAGAACATAGTAGAGACATTTGCTTCAGCGATCCAGGCTAGTAGAGAGGAGGAAAAATATACACCAGTTACAAAGGCAACGCAGTTCAGTACAGGAATCAAATTTGGCAAGCAGACCAACCAGGGCTTTCTTCCAATTCCAAAAGCGGAAGAGGGTCCAAGTTACAGCTATACACCAATCCGACAACAAATCGAAGGACCATCGCCACCGGGATGGCGAGAATTACAAACGCGAGGATACGTATCACACGTACGCGCCGAGACTCAAAGTGACAGAGCCGGTGGCTTTCGGGCAAATATTGCATGTCTTCGTGCTCTCCAGGAAGCCATGGCCAGTTTATATCACAATCCCTCACAGCGTTCATTAGAACCAATGTCTATATGACCATGCGAGTGCTTACAGAACTAAAAAGAATCGAATAAAGCAATCTTAAGCTTTAATCAGGGTTGTATTAGTATTCAATATAATCTTCTACATAACAGTCTATAACAATCTACAACGTGTGACATGCTGCGCATAGATGACACTAGTAGCACGTCCTATTACTCTATATATCTCAATCCTAACAGAGTGGTAAATTGCTCCATATCTGTTACAAGTGGCACACGAGAATCATTACAACTGGAGAATTGATTAATTTATGTTTTAATAAGATTCTCCGTCATCGGCGCGATGGTACCCCTATTTTATAGGAATTTTGAGAAATAATAACGAATCCTGTAGGCAATGCCCGGAGCAGTTGAATGACATGGAACTTAAGGATCAAAGAAAAAAATGGTTAAACTGATAGCAAAGGACTAAATAAACAGGCCCCACCTTTCCTTGGTGAGTCACATCCATTTTTCCACTCCCTCCTGTTTTCTACTCACCAAAGCCTTAGACTCGAACGTTTCCACACACTAATCGCTGTGGTTTACAGATCCTTCAAAATTACCCTCATAAAGGATTTGGAAATAGAAATTACTCAATTTTCACTGTTCTCTCAAAGTTCACTGCTGGTTTGTGACTTTATTTTTCCCTGATACATATTTCTTTTTAATAATCAACCGTACCCCTTATATTCACGTGGTGCCAATTTTTAAAGGGATTTAGACTATAAAATAGACATGCAGAAGTGTCGTTATTAATGTTACATAATTTTTAACTCCCGACAGCCTGCCTGCCTGAAGGCAGATACAGAAGGGGATTTATGTGACATTGTTTAAATCGAGTTAAATCCTATAAAATAAAAATTTTATTTTTGTTTAAACATTCCAATAACGAACATGCAAATTTTACTATTGCATATTGCAGTATTCTACAGTATATCTGCTATACGTAAGTTTAGACCTTATTTCCATTGATTATCTATAAATCATAAACATTCAGTTGTCGCCATTAGATATGCTTCGTCCTGGAGCTTATGATTATTATTGACTATCTCGTACAGTTTGTTTTTTATTCCTAAGAGGTGTCTTATATTTTCGGTAATTTTTCTTATCATTTACCTTTAAACTAAAATCCCAGTGTAGAATAAACATTCCTGACTCGCACATGTATGTACACCATGATATCCTTACCCTAAGAATAACAGGACAAACTTATTACACTCTTGCTCTCCCCAATTCCCGCGACTATTTACACCGCAAACATATCTTTAAAAACTGTTCAAGAGCGCGCAGTTTCCATGTACAGCCTCGAATATAGACCTCAGTCAGACAGGAATGAAATCTCTTGGATAGATAGGAACGCGAGACAGCTTGTCTCGCACGTTTCCGTGGTTTACAATTATTTATACTTGCACGGGTCAAACGATAAGATTTCATATTTTACAGGCAGAGACGCTTTGGAAGATGGTATACGTCCTGCCAAGTTCTTCGGCCGATATTCTACCGTTCTTCCAGCTTCCGTCTCCATCTATCTACCACCCGCCGTCACTAGAGCATCGACATTCAGAAGTCTATTAAATCGGTTAAAACGATAGTATCGCCATCTATAATACTCTCACGGTACTAAGATTGAGTAGCGCTGCAACAGGGCAATAGGACTGGCAACGTCCGTGGTGGCCGAGGTTGTCTGTTTTCATTAAACTCCTGGTAACAAAACGGGCCTTATCTCGTTGCATAACACAGATTTACTTGAGTAAAAGTATAATAACCTAACCGCGGCCGTGCGGACGTATCTACCAACTCATTGGCCAGTTGTAAACGTAACTTCTATCGGCAGTGGGCTTCTTGTAAAACTCGCGGAACGTTTCACGTGGTCCAGTGTTGGCGCACCAGAAGAACGGACCCAAACAGGCCCCGGACTGAGCATGCCTGATTAGCCACGCAGAATGAGGTAGGCCATGTAACAATGGCATACAGCTAGGAAGCAGCTAGAAATAGTACGTGCTGAACAGTACTGGAACCTGGGCTCCCTTATGGGCCCTATATGATCAAGCCCCAGCGTCTATTCCTGTTCTCACTTTTATATTGCTATACCAGAATCCATATGCTCTTTCTTGCAGGATTCATAATTCTTCATGAAAATGTATGTCGGGTCAGGATAACTCGTTCATGAGGACATATGTGTATAATTATGGGTATGTTTTATATTGTGTGTATATATACGCGTACACGTACGAATAAACCTCGAGTCGGGAAGAGGATCGTAAACGAGAGCAAAAACTCCCGGGTGATCGAGTTTCCGATTGGGGCCCTCGGAGACGAGTAATCGACCTTAAGAGGGTACTCGAGAATAAACCAGACGCTTGGTGTACTTGACTGGCCGATCGTAGAATCCGGAGGTATCCCCCGAACGGGTCTTCAGGATAATTCTAGTTGAGAATTGAAAATCGTAAGGATCCTCAAGATGCGGAGTCCTCGAGGAATATTTTTGAATATCCTTCGGCAGTACTCACAGAGAAATAATTAACGGCACTGATGCACGTGGAATACCGCATTAAATGAATATACTTGTAAAATCACTGTATTACTGTTCAAGGATGCTCCAGGATGCCTCGAAGCTTTCCAAAGATAAATATATCTTATTTACAATGCAAAAATCAGCATTTGCGTTACAACGCGTGTTAAAGACACTATCAGCATCAATAGTGTAGATCTTGTAGATCATCTTGTAGATTGGTACCGAAGTGATTCTGTCTCAGGGTGCCGAAATTCTTCAATTAGCCCTTAAGTCCCTCCCTTCGTTCAGCCAATCAGCGTCTCTCTATGGCTCGATTGCTCCACCCACTTCTCTCCCGTCACTCGCAGTTTTCCTCGTGGCAACCAGCCACAGTACCTACGCGACCGCTCACTGAATCGCATCTGTGCGCGCATCACCTATTCCTCTTGCGGTTACGTCAACGTGTTTCCTGACTGTCCACTTGTCAAAAAGAGTCCAGCTTGAGACTTACGGCGTCGCGTAGTAAATCCAAAGAGGAAAAGAAGAAGTAAACAAGGAAAGAAAAAAGAGACTTCTGGTCTCCATTCATCGATACCGGAAACGCGCCACTCACGTTCTCCGGAAATAATTGTTAAACGGCGCGTAAAATTAGTTGTTCCTTGTTTGTACGATAATAATCATTAATCTACAAACGTTAATCGAGCGTGAATCGTGTCGCGACGAGTGTCAAACATGTAAAGACTCGTCGGGTATAGAACGAATTTTAAAAAAATAGACCCAACTCGTGGAACCATTTTCATGCGTGATCGATACGTGTCAAGGAGTTTTCTTAGAATTTTAAATAGTTTAAACCTTATTTTGTTTAACAATAGTTATTGAGGGGGTCGGTTCGTTCTAGTAGACCGGTTCTGCTCGGGCAACAGTCTGATAGGACTGGGGAGAAAAAAAGGAGGCGGAAAAATGCAAGGTTAAGAGAGCGTGCCTCCTCCTCGGTTAGAAAACGTGTGAAATCGGCCCGGTACGCGCATATATCGTGTTCGGTACACGTATAATCAGAATCGCCGACTTGTTTATCCTTTTTCTTTTGCTCTTCTTCCCCACACGGCTTTACTTTCCCGAAGGACCGATTCGTGGTGTTTAACGGTGGTATTGGGGAAATGGCGAGGTTCCCGAGAACGAGTACGATACTCTTGACGTGTGCGAGTCTCATCCTCCTGACAGGACGTCACTGCGTCCATGCAAACTGGTGGTGAGTCTAACGATTGGATATATTATTATTTGTTACTGTTATAGACGTTTTATCGCAGTCGTTACGCGAACACTTGTTTCTTTTCTTTGACTTGCCATTCTAACGTTATATTTATAAAGCGGAACGATCTTAACGTCGGAATCCCAGACATACGGAATCCGTGCTCTCGCGTCTGAACTCGAGCTCCTCTTCTTGGAAATGATTTCGATGGAATCGTGTGCGAGAGCCAGAGAGATCGACTCGTAATTGGAAGAGTCGATGAGAGTGAAGTAAAAAAAAAATAAAGAAACAATTTTATAGATTTCGTCCACTTCCTGTTTCCCTTAGACAGCCAATATATGTATATGTAAAATTCCTTAAGGAAAAAAAAAAAAAAAAAAAAAAAAAAAAAAAATTGTAATCCTAAATGAAGGTACAGTTTGTGGCTCTACCTTTAGTCCATGTTTTGAGACCCCGTAGATGCTCCAAAGATAAATAGACACGCGTTAGATACTCACTTGTATGCAATCATCTAGCGACACGTATACTTAAAGCCGTATTCTGATAAATACTGGGGGTTCCGATGATATTTGGAACAACCAGGAGTAGGACGTCCAAGAGCCGAAAGAGGACAGAACTGATGGTCAGTGGTCAAGTTGGATCAGTCTGTGAGATTTTATTTCTGACAAACTGGTTCCTGGGGGAAGGGTCCATGGGGTGTTACACGGTATTGAGCACAGGAAGAAGAAATAGTCGATTAATCGTTCCTGGTACCATATACCTATATCCGGTTGCCAGTAACCATCCCCTGTGTAGAATTCACTCTTAAGCTTTGCTTTTGTTTTATTTCTTTTACATTGATTAGTAATTTTTTTCATCGTTCCTTCTCCTCTCATCATCGTTCTCGTTTTATGTATATAATACATATAGATATAGCCCGTTGCCCTGTGGAAGGCATATGGCCGCAACCTAATTGCAAATGAGTGTTCCTGAATGTAACGGGTGTGCGTAAAATTCTCGGGGGCTACTGAAATGCCTTTTTATTCTTATTCTTTATCTTTTTTTTTCTTCTTTCTTTTCACGTCAGCGCTACAGGGGAGAAGTCCGGCTGACTAAGGCCCACGCGGGGTCCCGTAAAAATATCTTATATCCTCCTCACGTGTAATCTTCGAAGTCGCCAATAAAGTGACTTTTATCATGGCTGAATAGCGGAATGGCGCACGTGTTAACTTTATGAGGGGCAATTAGAAAATTGCATTACCACCACCCACCGTCGCCATTCTCACTCTTCTGCCAATGGCCTCTTCGTTATCGTGTAACCCCTTCTCCCTGTCTCCATTAACAATTCTCTCTCGCCACACCTTTCGTCATTCGTTCCATCCCGTGGTAGCAGCCTCAGAGATTGTGCGCAATTAAACCAATGAATGTATCTTCGTTTCAGTCCCTTCGGTGAACTCTTAACCCCTTTAGGAACGACATGCCCGCGTCCGACCGACGACACTTAAGACGAGATAGAATGAGAAGAATAAGAAATCCATGAAGAGAGCTCGAGGGGAAAGAGGAAGAAGGTACAGCGGAAATCTATTAAGGCGCGTCCGCGAGCGTCGATGGCGTCTTTTATTGGGCCATAATAATCGTTCAGTATGTTTGTTCGGTTATTACTCACTCAGCCTTCCGCCTCTCCCTGTACGTTATATTACAACACCTACCTATAGGTGTAATACGCCATGAAACGGGCAGGCCATTCTGAGTTATATCAGCGATTCAGGGATGGGAATGAAAGTGGGTTCGTTTAATCCCCTGAAATCATAAAGTGACCCCTGATCCCATTGCCTCTTCTTATCTATACACAGCGGTCTGACCCGATCAGATGATAAATACGTGGCAGAAAGAGCGACTGAAGGAAGAATGAAAATTACGAGCAGCGTATAACACGTAATGGGGCCTTTCGCCACTTTGAGTACCTATAGGGCAAAAATGGCTCGTGGACCTACAGGATGCGCGTATCAAATGGCATTACGGTTTTAGTACAGTATAGATACATTGGAAGGTGTAATTTGACGTTGGGATTATTAGGGAATGCTTCGTGTGTACCACGTGGATAGAAAATGGCGGAAAGGTTCGTATTCCGTGTAACGCGCGAGGATCCTCGTGAATCTTTTTTTCTCTTCTTCATGCCCCCCCTTTATTCCCTTTTCTCTTTCGCTCTCTTTTCGTCTCCCTCGTTCCCCTCTGAAACTTCGGAACCCTTACTCCCATAACCGATCCTCCTGGTAGGCTCCTTTTATGAGGGCATTGCCACGCGATAGGAGACGTAACGCACTCCACTTCGTCTAACTGCGGCACAACACGACACGGACACGAACCACCGGTGGCACAGTATGTTTCTTTTTCCACCCCACTAGAATCTTTTATAAGACCCAATATAAAATCTCCTATACGTCGGTAATACCTACCCCTCTCGTTAACCTGACCGTATTCCCTGCATAGTCTCGTAAAAAATAAAAAAAAATAACAGTCGGGCTGGCTGAGATGAACGTAGGACATACAGGAGGAATCATATTTATCGGATATGCCGATGTCAAAGGGGGTGCGTTTAGTACATAGGGATTCTGTCTTTTTATTGCACAGTCTGGTGCACCCTTAGCTATTTTTTTTTTTTCGAGCCGATAAAATCCGGTTCGAAGGGACGGATTTGTGGCAGGGAAGAAACAATACTTTTCTTGGATCTTTTTTTAGGGCATGTTTTTTTTTACGAAGTCAGAGCGTCGCCATTTTTCGAAATTTTGTAGTTCGACTTGCGTCGTTCTGACTGACGCTTCTCGCTTTATTCCAAGAATGAAAACGCCTAGACGACGATAGCCGAACTGTTGGTTCCTTCTGTGCTGTCGAGTCTCTCTGCACCGACTGACGATGATGATCCTACAGGCTATATTACCTTGTGTACAAGGGGCGGCTGCGACGTCGGCGGCGTCTTCTTCTTCTTCTTCTTCTCTCGCTCGAAAAATGCTCGACAAAGGACGCCGCCACCGCAATCGCAGCCGCAGCAGTTTCGGCTTTTTCGAGACTCCAGGAGTCCGCTGGGTCCGATGATCCCTTCCTTGGTTCTTCTGTGTATACTGTATACTCTCTTTCCGGGGGTTTGCTTGACTACCAATGACACTGAGAATCTACCTACTGATCTCCAGTGACCTCCCATAGACTCCGGCAGTGGCACAAGCCATCCAACCTAACTATCTCCATTCTCGCATGAATACGTAGGTATTTGTAGGCTGTGCTAGAATTTGTGCTGAAGTGTGTACAGGCCTTATTGTTATGGACAATAACAAGAGGCAGCAGCACAATTGAAGTCAGACAAGTATAGTAACGAAACGAGTACGACCGATAGGATAACTAGATGCACTGCAAATTCAACTTTCTTATTCCCTATCCTTTCTGTGGTAGTCACTTTTTACACAGTTACAAATGTGTTATTTTTACGTTGGAATATGGGGGAACAACAAGACACTGGTAAGTGTGTAAAAAGTGACTACTGTAGAGAGTATAGGGAATAACACACTTGGATTTGCAGTGTGAATTGACAGAATGATGTTCAGCCTGAGAAATGACGCTTCTGTAAGGAATATACCTGGGGAAATAGCTGTCTATACATGAATATAGGGAGAATTATGATGGACCCGATAGAAGAAATCGTATTGTTCTCGTCTTCATTCGATGCCCATCATTACATCTTTCCTTTGGGTATTTTATTTTCTGCGGTGTGGACGGCCTTCTTTTCTTTCATTTTCCTTCGACCACAAGACCAATGTTAGGTGCTAACAGTCCGGGATACTTGGGACTCATGGGAGAATCCCTCTGATCTCTACCGACCGGCGTAGACAATGGGATGAAAAAACTGACCCCGTGAAACGAGCTCACCGTGTCCCGTTAAGTACGAGTTTCTTGGGTGTTGTTGAGGATTTGGTGATTTTTTTTCTTTCAGGAGCTAATCTTATCACTAGGATTTTTTTAGCTAACGCAATTAATATTTAATTCTGGAAATATGAATCGTCGGTGCGTTGTTAGGCTGTGAGATGAAAGTTCATATGAGTAGGATACTATATAGAGATAACTGAAAATACTTGTTTGGATCTTGATTGGCAACTCGATAAGCGATTACTGATTATGATTACCGCAGTGACGGAATGAAGGAGTGAAGGAATGATAGAATGATGGAATGACGAAGTGACGGACAGGCTCGTTAGCCTGGATCTTTATATAGGAGCTCATACGTAAACACGTTAACGCTCTTGTAATTAAAACAGACATCCGTGAAGTTTTTGGACTCTTTTTTCTCCTTGTAAAACACACAGGCGCGAGTTTGAGGGGCCGACGAAATCATATCGATATATCATGCATAGCTTATTTCCGGGTCATCCATTCATGGGTGATTTAAAAAAAATATTAATTTCAAGGAATCACATTTTTCTCCTTATTAATCGAAAATATCACGAAACTATATAAGAAAGAAATGACAATTTTTGGGCGAAGTTGTAAAAAATGGACAATAATTTTTTAGAATTCAGGAAGTTGTCGTGTATCTTATGTCGATGGTATATGCGTGCAAGCGAATGTAGCAAAATCAGAAGTTAAAGGTTACGGGTTTAGAATAGGATAGGAGAGTGAGAGAGTGAGAGAGAGAGAGAGAGAGAGAGAGAGAGAGAGAGAGTACCAAGCCCAGCCTATCTCTTGGAGGCACACTTGTTGAACGCGTGGTTTATCTTCGGCCATAGATCACTCACGCAGAGACGAATACACATGCGTGTCTACCCCTTGCCATTCCTACAGGATCTGCCCGCGGCTTTACATATGTATTGCTACTATGAGCAAATACGGGAGCGCACATCCCCTAGAAACGACACACAGCTAAAAAGGCATAACACGAAACCAGATGGTAAAGCAGAGTCCTTTAAACCCCTTGACCCTCATGAGCCTCCCTTACAACAATCTCTCAGGTGGGGTTGGTAATGTGGGAGGGAAGG